AGGCAATGAGTCCATGCAATAGACTACGTGGGCAGATAAACAGGCAAGTTCTGAAGCACTAATGCAGCCAGCTTGAGAAGCTGCATCCTCTCAGGGCCACACGCCCTGCCGGGCCTGTGGTCCCAGGGGCTGGCACTCACGGCTCTGTGGCCCGGCTTAGTGTGGGGCGAGACATGCTCTCTTGCCACTGCAAGGGCCAGTGCATCCATGCCTCCAGAGCTGCTGCCAGCCACACCCGTGGGGTCCACAGCAGGCCAGCTCTGCCAGTACACTGGAACAGCAGCAGCAGGTGGTGAGACGGGCGCTGGAGCCCTAACCCCACCTGCTCCCCTGCCAGCAAGTCCCAGGACCCCTGGACCCTGGCACCAAGGAGAGATGATCCCGCCCTGGACTCCAGCCCAACCTGCTCTGCCCTGTTCTGCCCTGGTGACCAAGGACCACCACAGAGTAGCACAGGCCAGGGCACCCCCACAGGGACCATCCCCCACAGCTGTGCACCAAGCTCCCAACAGTGAAGACAGCGAGCTGTCTTGTGACCCCAGACAGGAAAGACTCTTGGCAGAAAGGAATTTCTTCACAGCTCCACTCCTCAGAGCAGCACAAGTCCCACCGTCCTCCCTGCTGGCCCCCAGCTCTTATCCTGAAAGCACACTGGTGTCCTACAAAGGTTAATTCAGCCCAGGGCTCAGCAGACCAGGCTTCCCCTTGGCTGGCTGGGTGGCTGGCATGGGTCACACGGGCTGAGCCACCCACCAGAGCCCTGACCTGCCCAGGGCCTGATGATGCCCACAGACACCATCTTTGCACACTGGATACCAGGCTGAAGGGTCCCTTGTTCTTAAGGACAAGCAAAGCCAGGTATAGTGGTGTCCCTGTTGTCCCAGCACTTGGGAGGCTGAGGCAGGAGGGTCATTTGAGCCCGGGAGCTCAGGACCAGCCAGGGCAACACAGTGAATTCCCTTCTCAAATAAATTAATAAAATGGCTATTACAAGAATACCTATAAATCTCCACAGGGAAACGATGCCCAGGACTGAGCTATCTGAGGCTGAGAGGGTGTCGGGCGTGCTAGGTGCCCAGAGCCCAGCATCCTCACCCTGTGAAAGAGAGAATGCAGATGAAGCAAGGCTGTGGTGGGCAGGCCCTGCCCCATGTGCTCCCTGCTGGATCTTCCAGGTGCTTCCGGACTCCCTGAGCCCCTAGCCTGGCTCAGCTGCCCTGCTGTTGTTGCCCTTCAGGAAGACCCTCACCCACAGGGATGCAGACCCCTCCATCCTGGGCCCACAGCGTGGCCTCTAGACCGGCCAGGGTGGGTGGGGGATGCAGCTTCTAGAGAAGGCTGAGCTGAGGCTGCCAGCTTCCTCTGGGTCCCTGCAGGGCACCAGCCAGGAAGGACACAGGCCCCCCAGGAACAGTCTCTGAGGCCCCCTGCTGGCCGAACAGAGAGAGAGAGGGAGAGAGAGAGAGAGAGAGAGAGAGAGAGAGAGAGAGAGAGAGAGACAGAGAGACAGAGAGACAGAGAGAGACAGAGACAGAGACAGAGACAGACAGACAGACAGACAGGGGCAGGAGCAGCAGGCCTGACTGCCACGGTGCCCCAAGAAACAGAAGAGGAACTCTAGTCCTGCAGGGAGCTGGAGGGGGCAGTCTCAGCCTCCGGAGCTGGTGGAGGCTGTGGGCCGAGTTCTCAGGGTAGCACCCAGGCCCACAGGCTTCAACAGTACTCCGCCCCGGGGCTCTAGCAGGAGAAGGGCAAGGTGCAGACAACCTGATGACACCAAAGTTGCCCGCCACAGACTCCATACCTGCCTCCCATCCCAGCTGGCCCAGCCACAGCCTGGTGAACCAGCTCAACCCTAACTTAGGGCAGGGCTCAGGCAGCTTCTGCTCAAACCACCAAATGTGCCTGGTGCCCTCCTGACACCCTTCTCACCATGAGCCTTGTCACCAGCTCCCCAAGCTCCGGCCCTGCCTAACACTTCCCGGCTACACCTGGTGAGGCACTTACAGCTCCCCATGGCAGGTGCAGGGCCGTCACCTGCTCTGGTGGGGCAGAGCTACAGTTGGCCTGGTGCCCACCTGGAGCAGCTGCGTTAGGAAGGCAAGATAGGAGCTGCATCCCCTGCTGCTTGCCTGGCCTTCCCTGGGCCAGCTCCCTGGTGGCCCCCTTGTGTAGGTGGGTCCAGGCCAGCACCCTGTAGAGGAGAACGCATGGGCTGCTCCTGCCACCCCAGGTGCGTGAACGGTGCTGCCGTCTAAGTACACGGTAGACACATTTTCACCAGTGGTGGGTACAGACCCGGGAGTGGAAGTAGGGGTCCTGTTTTGCTGGTCTCACCCACAGCTATGTCTTTTCTACCCTATCCTGTGGACAGCCCAAATCTAGGCTCTAGCATCCTTGGACAGGATCTGCTCTTCCTGCCAGTCCAGACCCTTGGGCCTCAGTGCCCCAAGGGACAGACGGTAGTAGGCCAGAACGCTGATGTCAGCTGAAGTGCACTTGGAGTCTCTCACGCCACAGAGACCCCAGAGGAGCCCGCTCAAGTCCTGTGAGGACCATGGCAGTGATGCCTGTGCCGGGTTCGAATTACATAAGAGGCCAAGAGCAGAACAGATTAAAATTTAGAGCCGTTTATTAGCCAGCCGGCAACTCATTCGCCGCACTCCATGCAGGGAGGCACTAGCCAGCAGGGAGGCACGGTGCGGCTGGCCTCTTTCTTTCTTTCTTTCTTTCTTTCTTTCTTTCTTTCTTTCTTTCTTTCTTTCTTTCTTTCTT